ATACATACATGTACATAATCAAATATAAATTTATATGTAATATTTTTTAATACATACAGAGTTAAAAAGATCCACTTCTTAATAAACTTTTGTTTATTAATATAAATTTTTATTTCATAAATATATATGTACATACATGCTATACATACATATGTATGTATATCCTAAATATTAAATTTATTTTTCCTCTTTTGTTTAATTTTTTGTTTATATGTATGACAAAATTTAACTACCAAAGCTTACTTATTTAAATTTTTTGTATAAAAGAATAAAAAATGAATGTATATATAATCAATTCTGATATACAAACAGGTATATGTATATATGAATATATGTATATATAAATATATAAGTTATATATGCTTATACTCACTTATTACTCTTATAATAATATATTATCCAAAAACAAGATGGAAAAAAAATAAGGAATAGAAAAACAGAAACAAAATTAAAAAAAAAAAAATATACAAATAGTAGCTGTGTATTACAAAATATTATTATGGTTTGATTGACATTCTAAATATACTATGTATAACACAACATAAACAATATACATCTTAAATTATGTACATTAATATACGTACATATATATATATACTCGTATATTGTATGTAAATTTAAAAATTCGACGCGACATGAATGTTCATGAAAATAAAGGAGACTAATAATTTTTCACACCAAACCAAAAAAAAAGGAAAACAAAAGCCAAAAGCAAAAATTGAAAACACTTTACAGACATTCACATATTTACAAACATACATTATTCTATTATAAATACATTGTATATAGAGGTAAATATATAGAGGTACTAAAGAATACATAATATTGTAATGTAAAAAGGATAATTATTATTTTCTTTTTCTTGTTTTTCTGCTTTAATATCTTTAAATAGAAAATAAGAAAAAATAAAAAACATAGTTAACAGAATCCTTCAAAAGTAACGAAGAAACCCGCTCAGAATCAATAATTTTCTTTAATATACATATATTCATATATATTTATACAATTATAATAGAAACATATAAATATGTAATATATAAGTATATAAATAATATACACACCTATATCTTCTATATTTAAAGATTTTCATTACAAACAACACACAAATGTAATAGAAATTTTGCTCCTACACCTTCTATTTATATACCAGTTTTATTATTTTTTTTTTTTAATATTCTTTCTCTTTTTTGTTATCATAAAACGTACAAATTGTACTACTACTATACATTATATAATAATAACAATAACAATAATAGAAAATAATAATAATAATCACTAAAAAAAAATTTTAGTCTTTATATTTATGTAGAAATGTTTGTACTATAAAAATAAAATAAAATTAAAACAAAGAAAATTAAATATTAGAGTTTATCAGAATAATATTAAAAAGTATTACTCATCATTATTAAGAGTGGTCGCGTTGGTCGTCACATTTTATGTGAAAAAGAGAGAAAAAAAAACAATAGCAAATAATTTATTTCTCAAAAATTTCTCAAAAATTTTTAAATAATATGAAAATTATAAAAACAATAATTTATGAAAGAAAATTATAATGGTGAATTTTTCAAGAAATATATTAATATTAAAATGTACCTCACACATTAATATATTACTATGATATAAAAGGGATAGAGGGAGAAAGATAGAGAGAAACAAGAAGACGTAAAGAAAAAGTTGAATATTTTTTTTTCCATTACTTTTAATAATTCATTATTTCCTACAATAAAATTTTCCAACTGACGGGAGAATAACTATACTTTTACTTGTATAACTTGAATAACTACACATACATTTGTATATACAGTTATAAGGAAAAGAAAATTTTCTAAAAACTCTTTCGTATTCCTATAAAAATTTCCTCAATTATTTTTTAATTTCACCACTCCATAACGCGCGGTATCTTTTATTTATTATTTTTATATTATGTATTTGTATGTACATTATTTATTTTTCACCATCGAGTTGTAATTGCACAGATTTGATTAAACGCATACATACGTATGTACATACTGCTATTACAACTACAACATCGTTTAATATGAGAAAATTGTTAATGTTGGTCAGAGAAAAAATTTTATTGTCATCTATTTTCGAATATGAGATTTAATTTTTTATTGTGTCTGTGCTGTACACTGTTTTTTTTAAATATTGGATTTTGTCACTGGAATAAAAGCGCAAGCGTACGAACTGATTAATATAATATTATATTCTTCTGTTAGATTGGAATATAAGAATGTAGTGTACATATATGTTGATAAGAATAAAAAAATTGGAAGAATAATATGACAGACAATATAGATTAAAAAATGCATTTTAAAATTGTAGTAGTAAAAGAAAAATAAAAACATAGCGAAATATATTTGTTTTTGTAAAAAAGAATAACTGAAATTGAACGTTTCGTCAATGGTCATCGTTAAATTTTCAATTTTCCGTTATTACAAAATGTTGATGAGCTTTGCTATAAGATTTTTATATGGTGTGTGTCTTGGATAATCGCAAGAAAATCTACTTAACGAAAAGAATTTTTAAAAAATTAAAATATTTTATATTTTAAAAAAACAAATAATATATTTTATAAACATTTACGTGATTTATATTAAATGACAAATTTATTGAGTTTTTGCGATATTAAGGTTAAAAGCAAAGCTATGAAATCTTGTTTGGCTTTTTTATCCAAAGTTCATGCAATCAGAATTAAAGAAAAAAAGCTAATGAAAACAAAATGTTCACAACCTAATATCTTAGATTTCTAGTCCTGGAAAATAAAGTTTAAATATGTTGAAATTCAACTTTTAAGATATAACGATATTTAAAAATTCACACTTTCCCCATTTTGCATATGTAAGTTCCTATGCTATCAAACAATTTTTAAAGTTCAATATTTGCTGGTTAAGTTTGAAACAAATCAAGTCAATATTTGTAAACAAGTACAAGTACCTACATTTACATACTCAAAATTAAGTAAAATTACTTAATTTGCATTTTTCAAAACTAGTTGTAGCTTAATAATAAAAAGTTATTTAATTTAATCAAATGCAGAAAAGTTTCAAAGCTTTCTATAATAATTTATTCAAAATTTTTTTGTTAAAAATTCAAATTATATTAGATTTTCTGCGCTAGTAAAAACTATGTCAAATTTTGAGCTTTAATTAGAGCGACATCTTCTTTTATTTAAAAGAATTTGAGAAATATTTGATTTTATAGTTTCAATAGTTTTTAAAAATATATGTATTTAATATAACAAAACGTCATCCTTTACGTTTTGGATTATATACGAGTAGCTTTATATGTAATATAAAAATCGCTATGTATATGAAATTTCAAACACTTTAGATTTGATATTGAAAAGATAACAGTCAGTACAAAGTGGTAAACTGAATTGATTATATAAAAAATATTGCATATAAATAGGCGGCAAAACAATGAAATTTTTATATCATTTTTTTAATATGGTTTACTCGATTCTTTCAAGTAAGAGAAACAGAAAATATTAACATTATTTTTATAATTTTTTAATATTTCTTTCTTCATATTTTAGTACATGGTGTATATTTATTTTTATTCATTTATAATTAATAATAATACCTAACTTAATTTTGACAACATATCAAAATGAACATAATATATTATTAATAATTGCTATTATAATGTTTAACTTTACTCACTTAAATTTATTGTAAATGAACATTTTTATTTACAAGGAATTTAAAATTTAATTTTTGTATTTTATTGATTTGCATATTTCTATAAAAAAAAAAATGTAAAAAGTGATGTAAAAATATAAAATTATAAATAAAGTACAAACAAAGTAAAAAAGAAGAAATTAATAGAAATTTTTTTAAAATTTCTAAAAAATCTGATCAACTGGTCATTAATAATTTTAATATAAATTCAAGAGAACATTTATATTACAAATTTTAATTTGTAAATTAAATTATATTATTATTTAATATAAAATAAACTTAAATGACTATAACACAAATTTTTAACTTCTACTTTTGCATAGAAAGTGATAAATAAATTTAATTAATAATAAGATAATATTTATTATTAAATGAATGGGTTGATGACACTTATTTTAACTTATTTAAATAGACAGTTTATTAAAAAATATATAAAAATCTTTTTAAAACTAATTTTTAGGAGTTTATTTGAAAGAAGAAAAGTTTCTTTTTTGAATTCCATTAACGAAAGTCATTTTAAAAATTATTATACCAAATTGGTAGCACCATGGCAAGAAGCTCTTAAAAACAAAAAATACAACAAAATTTTTCAAGGTCGGAATTAACTTTAATAAAATTAAATTAATTCGAAATACTGAATTCAATTATTTTTATTTAAATTACGTACAAATGTATTCAAATTTTTTATTTTTATTTCAAACAAGTATTCGTTATATACCCCTATAAAAGTATTTTACAGAAGTATTTTGTATTTTCAACACCTGTCACGCTGGTAGTAATATATGTAATTAGAGATAAAATTTTCTATTTCATAGATCTATTTTAAAAAACACATTACGCTTTAAAAAAAATCATGTTTATAAATAACACATCGAATCAATAAAAAGAATTATATAAGAATTTTTAAAAACCAAATTACTTGTGATGTTAACAACGACTTTGAATCACAGTGTGATTTTACTATTTTATAATCATATAGCACATGTATAATTTTTTTTAAATTGATTATCTAAAAAAATGTCTCATTAAGTTGTAAATGTGCGCACTAATATGATATTACTATTAAAATTAGTATGTATTGTTTATTTTAGTATTTGAAATATAAACAAGAAATTTAAATCATGACATTATTGGAAAAAGGATAAATTTGTAGTTTTTGTATATTTGGAATTTGATTAGATTCAATTTGAATCTAATTTAATGTTAAGATAAATTAAAATTACTTTTCCTTTAAACATTCAAAAACAAATATTTTTTTAAATTTTAGAAAAATGTGATAGAAATTTGCTTCTTTTTTAAATAAAATTTCTGCTTGTTTTACATTACAATTAGAATAAAAAATATTCTTAAAATTAAAAATATTAATTAACACTTAAATAGTTTGAGTTTAATTTAAATATTCTACCTAAATAATATTTGTATATATACAATTTTTAACGAATTTCGATTTTATATTTTTTTTAAATTTTTTTTTTTAATAAATTTTCATAAAATTGAAAACTATTCTAGAAATACACTTAAAACCTATTAATGATATAAAAAAATAAATCAAATATATTTAAGTTTATACTTGTAATTTTTCAAAAACATTATTTATTTTACATTGCAGTTTCCAATGGTTGACTATAACTACGATTCTCTTGTTGCAGTGCACTATTCATGCCCTCCATTTCAGGGATTGCATCAAAATTTGTTTCTAATAAAGCTTCTGATTTTGATCGCTGATATTGTTGTTGATTATCATTAGACGGCTTATAAACAGTCTTTGGCCTCTTTTGAACTTCGGAAATTTGTGGGGACGGATTTGGTACAAAATTTGATGGTGAGGGCTGCTGATAATGTTGTTGAACATCTTGTGGTTGTGGGTATTGCTGCGGTCGTTTCTGTTGTTGTATTGGTTGACTCGCTTTACTACTTCTCATTGCTGTATAATATGAATCTGGTCTACGTATATCTACTGGATCCGGTCTTCTTATTTCCAAATCATTTTTAGATCCCTGAAGACTATCAGATGTGCCTGATGTTGGTGTAAAATTAAATTGATCAATTTTTTTATGATATGGTAATGGCGTTTCTTGTTGTTGTTGTTGTAAATGTGGTGGATATCGATTTTGATTTTGTTTATCATAATTTTCAGAATGAGGAAAGAAACTACTATGTCCCAATCCCTGATTTGGTTTTGCGACAGAATCATATTCTGGTAAACGTGTTTTAAGTTCAGATAAAAATGATAAATTATCATTTTTATTTGATAATGGCAGTGTACTTGCATTTCCATAATAATCTGATGCATTGTCCTCATTATCAGTTTGATGTATTATTGGGGTATCTTCGGTTAAATTTGTGCTCAATGAATTATTACGAGTACCTGAGAATGTTGAATTATCGCGGAAACCTTCATTTCGAAAAGCTAAATCGTAATTTGTTGCTGGTGGATTATAATCAGGTAAACCATAAGTTCTTGATTTTCCAGCACTTCGAGTTGAACCAACTGTTGCAGTTTTAGTCATTGCAGGTACAATTGAAATTGGCTTTGGTTTCTTTGGATCATAATATCCATTTAGTTGTTCAATTGGTTTTCTACCATATCCATTTTGATGAATAAAATCATTTGGACCATTATCTATACTTCGATCAAATGTTTCAAAACTTGCTTCAGACTCAAGAACACTTTTATCCATAGAATCAATGGAGCCATTTGAATGCATTTTTTTATAATCGTTAGAAGTTCCCTTTGTTAAAGTATTAGATGAAGTTGCCTATACATTTTTATTGTAAAATAAAATAATAATAAAACCAAAAAAAAAAAATGAAATTTAAAATAAAAAAAAGAAAAATTTAAAATTTAATTTCGACACTTGGCTAATATTATGTACATTTTCTATCTTATTACGCTATAATTAGTATTTGATTATAAGGAAAATATTAGTTGGCACACTGCTTTAAATTTGGCAAGAGTAGCATAGGATAGGAAAATTTTAATTTAAAAATAGTAAACTTTGGAAAACAAAATTCTAAAAAATCCGGCTTGCATGAAATATTTAATAATATTTTAATGAATATTGTGTTAGTAATAATGCATGAATATTAATTTTGAAAAAAAATTATTTTAAATGAAAAAAATTTATAATTAAAATTAATTTAAATAAAATAAAGATCATACAAAATTTCGACGTCGAATAGATCCTTGAGGATCAATACTATTTAAACTTCTTAAACTTTGTCTAATACTATTTCGCCGCTCTAATCTTTGAACATGTCGATGTTTTGATTTGGCATACCAACATAATCCAATTAAAAATAGTAATAAAACTACAATAATAAATGCTGAAATAATACTAATAGTAAAAACGTCCGCTCTCCAAGATAATGGAGCAATAACAACCTAAAATATTTAAAAGAAATGAAGTAAGTTAATTTTGATAAATTTAAATTTATATTAAATTTTTTTGTGTAACCTTTGGATCAATTTCACAAATAAATGATAATTTTAGATCACATTCTTCAATTTCCACACTTTGATAAATAAAACTTGTACATCGATCAATATAATTTAAGTCTTGCACCCAAACTTTTTGAGGATATCTAAAAATAAAAAAAATAATCTATGATTTGCTACACAAATTTAATTGAATTTTAATTAAGAATAAGTAGTTTTATAATTAATAGAATGTTAATAGCAGGCTTTTAACTCAATCAGAGCCACTATGTTATAAGTAACTAAATGTAAAATGGTCAAAGAGCTTTTAATGACTTGAAATAACAAGCAAAGCAATATACATACGTAAATATTTTCTATACGATTTACAATAAATAATTTTTGCACTTACTTCAAATGACTCATTTCTTTTTGCAAAAATGTCCATAATGTTGTACTGTCAGCTCTTATAAATGGCACAGATGCATTATCAGATCGACAAAAATCTCTTGCTTCATTAAAGGTCATTGGTGATCCTACATATGAATAACATGTATCTAATACAAGTGACCATCCTGGTGGGCATTTTTCATCTAATATAGTTTTATTATTCATATGAAATGGTATAACTTCAACTTCTAATAATATAGGATCATCTACAATTTCACAAAGAAATTATTCATTATTCTTTTTTATTAATTTATTATTTAGTTTTCATTTACCAGACTTATCCCGTACTCTTGATTTAACTGAGATCGTTTGATTATAACTCCAGTAATTGTATCGTGCATCTACTTTTGTTTTCCATATTTCAACGGTGCTGTTCACAAATAATTTTAAGAAAATGTTTGTTATTCACTTATTTAATGTTTTATTATTATAAATAATTATAAATAATATTATAATTATAAATATTAAGAAAATTTTATTACTAAAATTGAAATTCATTAAAAATTTTTATTTTTTTTTTGAATGTGCCAAAAATTTAGAAATATATTTGACTTATTTATTTATTACCTGTTTCTCCAGAATTGATAATCGATCCTAAGTTAGAGCCAATTTACAACATGAATAAGAAAATTAACATGCCGAAATAAAATTTGTGATTTTTTTTTGGTTTTTATTTAATGTACAAATAAATATTTTATTTTTGGAAAGTGGAAACCATGCAAAAATAATTTAAGAAAAATAATAGTTTATTGAGTTGGTTGTGTTGAAAAATAATTATAATTTGTTTTAAAAATTTTATAAGTAATTATATAAGCAATTTTATGAAGATGAATTTCATTGAGCTTTTTCAAATAACAAAAAAATTAAGCATAATTGTTGCAAAATCTAAAATTTAAGTAGTGTAAAAACTTTTCACTAAGCCAAAATAAGTGCAATATTTGCGTTGAACACTTTTTAGTCAAAGACTTACCTATTTGCACAAAACAATGATTGATGAACTTTTGATAGAAATTTTAAAATTCTAATTTATGTATTTTTAACAGTGGAAACACTTTTAAGTATCAAAAAAAAATATTGTTATAGGAATGTACAGGGTGAAACGACTTCATTTTTAAAGTTTTGGAACATTTTAATTTACATTTAAAAGAGAAATAAAAGATTAAAAATGGAAAACCATATGTTAATATTATAGAATAAAACCATATAGCATAAATTTAATGTTATTGGGAAATTTTGAAATATGAAAGTTTGAGATTAAATCATCCTTAGCACTTTAAATCATAGTAGAAGTAAATGATCTTTTTAAAGTACCAATAAATTATTAAATGTAATTATAAAATCCTAAAATTTTTTCAATTATCTGAAAATTCTTCAATTATCTCAATATACATACACATGTAATTAAAACTATTACAAATAATTACAATGAGGATGAAATAAGCATTATATACAAAATAACATTAAGCTCGAAAACCATATACTTACATTGATCTATTTACAGTCATTATTTCATAATCATTATCTGGATTATAAAATATATTATCCGTATATTTTTGTCCAGCTGTTCCAGCAACAATTGTAGCTCTACCTCGCCAATCAGTCGCAACATTACTAAAATAAAAAATAAATATGATTTTTTTTTTTGTAACTCCGAGATTAATTAAAATTTAAAGTTGACATAATATACTAACTCATAAAATCCATTATGTACTGTTGTCTGATAATCATTTAATCTGACGTTATCAAAACCCGAAATTTCCATAATTCTGCCACCTTGATTACTATGAACATAATTATGTGTAAAATTCGAAACAACTTGCTGTAGTCTTATAACAACTTCATAATTTGCTTTATTCTGGCTGAAATAATTTTTGAAAATTGTTACTTTTTGATCTAAAGATGACTGCCTTCCTTCAACTTGTAAACATGGTCGATTTTTATTTTTAACAAATAAATTATGTTGAATTTCACCATCTAATGTTGTAGCACGACCTCTTGAATCAGCTCGAATTCTTAAGCCACCTTGATTTTCAGATATTAAATTATTCTAAAATCAAATACAAATATTAAATTTGAAAAATGTTAACATAATTAATGAGAGCAAAATGAGCTTAGTTTAATGAGCTTAGTTACCATAAAATAAAGATGAGGCATATTTTGAACATCAATATTTAAAACTTGCTCACAAGTGGAAAAATTTCCATATAACTGTCTACAATTTTTTTCGAAACGATTACGTTCAAAAGTTAAAATTGGAGTGAGTTCTCCCGCCGATGAATATGCCACAGCGCCTCCATTGGAGTTTGAAATTTCGGTATATGTTATGTTATGTTGGACTCCTCGATCTTTAAAACACAGAAAAAATATAGATAAAATTTCATTTAAAAAGTATTTCTTAAAATAGAAATAAAATTAAACTTACTAAAACCGATTGTTGATATTGGAACAGTTACAACTTCAGCAAAGAAACCATGGAAAGCTGGTGCACCACTGGCAATTAAACGAACGCTTAAAATTGAACCCTTTGTTTTAAAAAATCTATTTTCATTTGGTGAATTCGCTTCTATTTTGTCAATAAATATTGACGACATGTTATAAATATCTCCGTCATATAAATGTAAAGCATCAGTACGACCGTATTCTTTGGAATGATTGAATAAATTTGCTTGAAGTAATCTGAAACCAATAGGTTTTACACGATGTGCTGTTTCGAAAATTTTTACACAATTGACTGGATTATTATCATACTTATAATATAAAATTACACGTTCTTCAATTGTTATTTCTTTCATTGTATCGCAAATGTCTATCATTGAAAATATATTATACGGCAAATCCAAGTTTTTCAATGGGGAAAAACTTGATTCATCGCTTGGTCTACTCTCCCCAGTCATTGAAATTATATTTATTCCATTACCTAGTACGTTATTTATACTTGAGTATTGTATTCTGATTGTGTCAACAGGTGATATTAGATTAATTCCGTGATGAACGGAATCGTTTATCGTGACGTAACTAATTGATGGTGTCTTATAAACAGCTTCTATCGCTGGTGATTTTTCATTATGCAACATACCAGCCTGTTCAATTCTAACAAATTCCAGTTGACTCTGTTGCGCGGATGACTTTAACTCTTCGAAGTCAGAATTAGCGAATCGTATACCACCCCAATAGTTTTTATTATTTGGTATTCCATTACAACTCACGAATACAAATTGATCATCCCAATGGCATTCATGTCTTCTTCCGTATAGCTGGCCATTTAATCTTTCAGGACATAATTCAAATCTAGATTCACCTCCATGACATTCCATTGGTTCAACCCAAGACCAAATTCGAGTTAAAGAATTTGTGTGAAATTCAATTCGACGGTCATGACTATAGTAAATATTTATTGGATCAAAACCCAATTCTCTGCAAACCACTTGTGCGTTACGTTCTGTAAATCGTCTATCACATATTGGAACCCATTGTCTTGTTGTGTGATTGAAGTACTCTAAAAATCCTTCATACTTATCATCCTCATTTTCACTCGAAGAACAATTTCGACCAGTACATAGTCGTATTGAATCATACTGTCTTAAATTTTCAAAAGCTTCAATTGATCTTTCAAACCGATTTAATGCCATCGATTGATTACTTCTTGCAGCCCTCATGATAATTTCAGAATCTCTAAAACCAACTGCTCTTAAGGTACCTAAAACCAAAATTCCCACATTTGGACTAAATTCCATTACAACTCCGTGATTAATAGATAAAGTTGCATCAGGCATGACAGTTAAATCCGATTGAATAAAATATGGAGTATCACGTCGATTTATAGTAACATCATTTAGAATTCTCCCTCCAAACTGATCCAAATCTAAAATGTCAACTTTGGAGCTACTAATTATTGAAATACTTCCATCAAATGTAGGCTCTATTAAATACGGTTCATATATAACTTCTGCGTGATTATTCCAGTCGTCAAAATCAAATATTCGTGCTACAATTTTGTCTGGATCAGTAGTACCCCACCAATTTTCTTGAGCAAGTAAATAATTTTTTATTCGTGCCGACTTAATACCAGCTATTAAATCATAATCCATTTCATTGTTGGAGAAAATATTTCTAGTTACATGAGCTTTCTGAATTCCACCAAATTTGATGACAGTGGTAGGATCTTTTATATAAGATCTTAACTTCTTTAATGGAGTCATTAAGTGGGAAGGACGATGACTGGCGAATGGATCATATTTATTGTTTTCAATGGAATTCAATGTTACAACTGCTGGAACTTCACCCATAATTTCACTTAAACTGTCGGCCTTAAATTCAAAAATAAATTGCGCATTATTTTTTTCGATTCGGTTATTATCAATTTTAATTTTCTTCTCCATTCCTCGTAAAGTTACTAAACCAGTTTTACAAATATTATTAATAAAAACATTTGAAGACATATTGAATTGAGCGTAATGTCCTTTGATAGAAATCTCAAAAGCGGAATTGGATTTCCATGTGTTATTGTTTAAATAAATTGAATGAGTAAAATTTTCGTTATATTGCCAAACATAGGGAAGACTAATATCCATCCCTCCATGGTAATTACCTTCAATTGTTACACTTTGAAGTACATAGTGGTACAAGTTATTTGACGAACGTAAGTCTTTAGAAAATTGACGAATACCTTGTCCATTATTCATTATTAGGGAATTATTTACATGAATTGTTGTTTCTGATAAATTACTAACGTGGACATCCCAAAAGGGTGCTTCAATATAAATAGCCTCGTGTTTGTTGTTACTTATTTCAGAATAATTAATTTTTATTGACTCATTAGCCTTTCTCAGAAAATGTTCTCCTTTTTCACCTAAATATCTATTATAATACGTTCCAGATATTCCTCTAAAATTACGTTTTATTTGCGATAACTGAATTTTAAGAGTTGGTTCGGGACCCCGAACAATTTTATTCCGAATATTTTGTACAGGCGCTCCTAATATAGAAACATGTAGTACTGTTCCACCCAAGGCTCTCGTACCACTTTTATATAACAGAATAACTCCATAACTACTACTTGTCATCGGAAACACGGAAAGATCTCTTTTGACTTGCCATATATCTGAATGAGAATTCTCAGTACGAGAATCGAAAATAAAAATTTCTTCTGTTGAACGATTTTCAATTGGATTCAATAGTTGTATACCAATCACATAGCCAGGTGGACATCTAATATTGATTTTTCGTTCTACTTCTTCACCAAAATGTCTTTCTGTTAATATATGTTTAGTATCATATTGTTCCAAATCTATGTTGCGATCATTAGAGGGTAACATATATGGATCATATTTAAGATCTAGTGAGCTAAAATCTGGGGGTATATAGAACCATCCAGAAAGTTCCCTTTGCTCTATTGCAGAGAGTACTGGATTATGTGCTATTCCGCTACCAAGATTATCCGTAATTTCAGTCCTATCAACCATAAGTCCTAATTGTTTCAAACTTATTCCATTACCATTATTATGAGAAAATTCGGAATCTTTTACGTTATTTACATTGTCTGTAAATATATGGGAGTAAATAACACTCATTCCATCATGTAAATTATTAATAACTCGTATATTATCAAAATTATGCCGAGCAAAATCTAGTTGAATGGCTGCTTTAAATGAATTTGTTGTATAGTCAAACAGACCAGCTTTTTCTACGGTAATGTACTGTAAATCAGCTCTTTCCGCTAAAGCACTAAACCTTAAACCAGCCCAAGCTCCTTCATAGCATCGCATTCCAACATCATTTTCATGAGTACAAGAATTTTCGAACTCTCCACGTGACGCTCGTTCTGCTTGGCATTTTGTTACATCTGTGTCATGTTCGGTACATCTTACATTTGATAACAAAACATCTTCAGTTGTACCGCTCCCCGGAATTTCAGATTGTAACATTCGCCAATCCATAGGATTTAATGCATAACCCAACTGATTACAAACTAAAGCGGCGCTAATTATTGACCACCCATAGTCACACACTGTTCCCCAACGGCCATCTAAATATACTTGTAGCCGACCTTCACGATTTGTATTTCCGCCAAGTAATCTAATTGGAACTTCTGGGGGTTCCGAAGCATTCATTACAGTTCCTGTTTCAATATCAACTACTTGCATGTTTTCACTTTCACCGGAATGGTGAATATTTTCCGCATCATTATCATCGAACATAACAGGTTCTCGTTTGAGTGTAAACATTATATCATTAGGGCGTCTTCCTCTTGCTTCCAATTTTCCTGCTACCATCATTCCTACGCTAGGTTCAAAATATAATTTTACCCCTGGTTCAATAATTAATTTACCACCTGGTCTTATATTAATATCTTTTGTAACTGTGTAGTCTCCTGGTGTTATACGTTCTAATCCATCAACTTCACCACCAATAAATTCGGAACCTGTTGTTAAAAACTTAGGAACAAATTGTGGAATACTGAGAACTGACGTTGTTCCTGGGTTCGATCTATGTAGCAAATATGGTATGTATTCTATTTTAGCTAAATCGTAACGATCTTTTCTGTGAAATAGTCTATCAAAAACTTTCTCCTCATTAGTTTCTCCAAGATAATTAAAAGTCGCGTTGATTACTTCTCTTTGATCAGAAAATTGTGATCCAATCTCATATGCTGAATGAGGGTTCGAGATAATGTTACGAAATATTTCAACATTGTTAGACGATACTACAATAGTAGCTGCAACTCGAGATCTTGGATTTAATCTTCCAGAACCATTGGGACCCTCTCCTTTTTTAGCTACAGTTCCAAAAGGTTCTTTAATTACATTGTCTTTAACATAATTTCTCGTAAACAAAATTGATTGAGTATCTCTGTCTGAATACGGTGTTACGCCTAACGAAATAACATAGGAACCCTGATTGTTATAAAACTCGTTACTGTGAACTATAATGCGAACTGGAAGTATTTGAAATTCTTCCCACGCTGGATTTCTAACAAGAATCGAACCAAATCTTCCATACCTGAATCTATTATATTCAATTTTTCCAATCAAATTCAAAGCAGGGCTTAAAGCGATTGCATTACGTTGATTATATTCAAACTTATTATGACCTATTTGTAAATTCAGTCTATTTTGCAAAGCCTTTTGTTCAAACCAACAACTTCCAATATTGACAGAATCTAGGACGCTATCATTAAAATAATTTCCCGTGATATTAACCCACATTGGGCCACAAAAATTTCCGTGCCTTACTCCAATTTCAAGATTCGAAATAATCTTAGAATATTCAATAGTTGTAGTTTGATTGATAAAAAGAAATTCCATTCTATCGAGATCGTTAGTTTCATTAAGCCAAACAGCAAATCCATTTCCAGTATTTGAGCTTAAAGAAGTTCGGGACACATTTCTGTGACCACCGTAATAAGTTATATTAATACCGTCACCATGATTAAAACTGATTTTACTATTAGTGACATTAACATCTCCAGCACCACTTGTAACGTGTAAACCAGAAACGTGTCCATTGTTCATTATGAATGAACCCAATACATGAATTTGGGATCTTAAATTATCAATCGCAATACCACGACCGGAATTATCATTTATAATGGTGTTTGTTACATTAAGATCATACGATTTTGAAGGTCCTGTCGTTAATTTAAGGTATCCGAGTAATTCAGCTCTTGGATTCGCCCTAAATCTTACAAATATTTTATCTCTTGTGCTTACAACACTTTGCAGACGAGTGGAATTTCTGATTAACCATGTTGCCAGCAATCTATCATTAGTTGAAGAACCGTCAAATAGATCTATTTGAGCTGTTTCATTTTGCATGATAGTAAAGTAAACAAAGTGAACAGTTAAAACATACCCTGGTTTAGTAATAAAATATTTTGAACATTCTTTTTGTCCTCCAGCATATAATGATTGCTGAACCGATATTGAAATCGGATAAGTCTGACCAGATGTAGTTGGTAAAGTACAAAAATCGTGAATTTTAGTTCTATCTTTACGTTCATCTGATCTTAAATCATGACCAACATAACGAATACCATCGGCACCATTCTCGCTAATATTACAATCTTCGAAGTGTGCTGAACCACTACTAGTATTAACAAATATTCCAAATCCTTTACTTTTCTTTATTGTAATATGATGTAACGTAAATGCATCTTCTGATTTTGTAATATTCAATCCGGTAAAAGCAGAATGTTCAATTGTGATATGACTCATTTGTGGAGGCATACCAATTACCTCAACAGCAGCTGTTGTTATACGATTATTTCCAGATCCAGCTTTAATTATATCAATATATTCTAGAATTGATTCCGATTTTGATATATAATTTGTATTATCCAACGCTAATGTGCTTGTATGTGGTGCATTTATAAAACGTATTCCTCTCCAATGTGGTAAAGATTTATCATGTCGTGGAAGACATTGTATTCCAATATCACTATGATAATCACAGACACCAGAACCTAATTGACGTGTATGCCATGAACATTCAAATAGTGAAGATTCAGTACCACGACAGTTTGGTTCCTCAAATAGAAGTCGAGGGTGATTATTCCAAACTCTTTCAATCCAATTCCAGAAATTTCCTCCTTGATAACCCATCTGCCTGCAAACGATTTCGTAATCTGATATTGTCCAACTAAAATAAAAATAAAATAAAATTTATAATATTAAATTTAACAGAAATTGCGATCAATTAATAAAAAAAAAAAATTATTACTTTTTTGAATTTGAGCAAACTGATCTCCATCTTCCTTTATAATATACTTGTAATCTACCTTGAAGTGGACTTGGACCATCTACTAAACGAGCTCCAAGTTCTTTTATTTCAGGTAGAGTTTGGCTATCGAAACTTGATTCTTGTAAAGACGACAAAAGAATTCTATCGTTTGGAGTTCCCTAAAATAAAAATATTTTAATAGTAATTATTATTAAAAGAAGAGAAAATTAGGAACAATTTCATATTTGACACTTAATTAAAAATTTAAAATTGAATTGACACTTAATTAAATTGAAAAAAAATAAACCCATTAAACGAAACAATCAAAATTATTATTGAAGAATAAATTTATGAAAACACGATTATTTTTAAAATAAACTTAAAGCTTGTAAGGCATAAAACAAAACCAGCCCAGTTGAATTTTTTTGTTCTTTTAAAACTTAATAAATACAAATTATTTTTTATTTTTACTTTTCTTTTAATTCTTTCCTATTTTAAATCTGTCCCCTATTTATTAAAATTTAATTTTTGTAGTCTATACTCCATATTACTAAGTCTATGTAGGCTATAATCAACTGAATTCACATATATATATATATATTTTAAATTAACTATACAATAATATTCCACGCAACTTATAATAGAAAATAATATATTTTATGAAATCAACAGGCTTAATTTATTAATAGTAATAAAATCCAAAGGTGGTAAAACCTATACTAAAAAAAATCACTAAAACCTTATAAACAATAACGTTTTTCTACGATATAGTAAATATTTTGAATACTTGCATATGAAGTAATAAAAATAATAATCGCAACCATATTAAATAAAACATAAGTATATCAGGTATGTAGATGTTTTATTTAAAATCCCACATACTCGTAGGTAACAATTTTTCATATAGTTTACTTAACGCAAGATAATTCAAAACATTTACACATGCATATGCCTATAACATTTATGAATATTTTTTAAAAAATTTTATTTATTCGTTGCACTCGAGTGCACTTTTATAACACTGATTAACTAACTAGGTTTTTTTGGTTCGAAAAAAAATATTATTACTTAAATATATCACGTAACAAATACGATCTAATAACTATTTTGTTCATTTGCATGTCAATGTTTACCAGTCAATGCCCTCTAAAATAATTATTAAAGGCACATTTTATATAAGCATAAGAATGTAAGCAAACATTATGCTTACAAACATTGTATTAACAAACACTGTAAAATTCTTTTATCCCTAAAAATTCTAATGTTTAGTTATGGTAATACCTAAGAATAAAAATTGATGTTTAATAATCTGTAAGGAAGATCAAAAAACTCATAAATCGATAATAATGATAATTTTTTTATGAATTATTCTTTCGTTTGCTGCTTATTGTATTATTCCATATATAATTGCTACACAATATTTATACATCCATATACATATCTAAAATTAAAATATAATTTGTATCTATTGTTAAGAAATTTTGTTATACCGTCATTTTCCTATGATCTTTTAAGCTACCAAATATTATAACATAAAGTTATGAAGAGTGTGATTTGAATTTTAGGTAAAATTTGGAAAATTTTCTCCGAATTCTTTATTTTCTATACACATAAAAAGAAAATCGATTCGAAAAGTTCGACCTGGATTGGCAATTAGAAAGAGATAGAATATGAACCTTAATGAAAATTTCAGTTTATGTTTATTTTTTTAAAATAGGATACTGCATGAATAAAATCTAAATTTTGATGTTGAAAATTCTGTTCTACAACCTTGTTTGTTTGACTACCAAATAAAATAATACATTGCAGTTCGTTGATTTCTTGTTATAACTGGCAATCTGTTTATTATAACTGCTTACATTAAAACAATAAGGTCAATGGTATTAATTATATTTTAATGTGGTGTTTCTAGGAACGAAATTCAAGCTTACTATAAATAATCTTGCTAAAAAAATACTAATTCACTTTTACGGAATTTAAGAAATATACTTTAAAATTAGTCTACAATTGGCATTAATCAGGGCTATCTAAAAGATTTGCTGTTAGAGTAAAATAACTTCTCTTGTTTATACTAAAATACACCCTTTTTGTTTACATATATAAGTATTCAGCCATAACTGTATTAAAAAACAATATTTTTGCTGAATTATTGCAACTTTAATTTCGACTCATTACAGAGCCTTTAACTTAGCTAGTTATTAAATGTTCAATAACTAGCATGGTTCAGCAATGCAATATAACACTGATTTATTGTGAAGTCGAACATAAATTAAAAATTTGGCTTTTTTGGGTATTAAAAGTATTTAAAGAAAGTTTGTTATTTAAAAATAGACAATTTTTTATTCACCAATCAATTTCCCACTAAATTTTGAAAGAACGCATACAAGAAATCATGAATGAAATTTTTTATTTCCAATACCAAAAAAAATTTTAATATATATTAAACTTTAAAAAAAAAATAATCTGTAATGAAAAATCTAAACTATTTTTAGTTTTTTTTTCTTTAAGAAGTTGTGGGAGGATGAAAAAAGATTTAGACAATCACAGATTTTGTTTTTCTTACTTTTTTTCCTTCAGTTATAATAAATTTATTTTAATTGAGATGATTTTAATCGTATTGAGATTGATCGGACCAAAATGAAATTTTTATAGAGCAAACATACATAAAATGACAATATACATACTTTTATAAAATATACTTATACATATATATATGTACATATACATAAAATCGTAACAATAAGGTCTGTGAGGCGTAATATAATGGTTTATAAGTTTCATTTGAATGGTATAGGAGTATTTTTACAACTAAATATTATTTTATTATTTAAAGTTAGTAATGCTTCAGTTTCAATACTGGAATAAACATAAAATCTTTCAATATCACCGTCGAGATATGAACAAATATACATACATGCAATGAATTTGGTTACTTCATTTATTTTCATTTTTTGAACCCAAAATAACTTGATTAAAACAATTAAAATATAAACAATAGAAAATATATAGTTATTAATTAAATCATTTAATTTGGAATTGTAGTAGGCATACGTTTATCTGTAATCTAAATTAATAGTGTATATAGCAAGTAAACGTTTATAAAAACAAGTCATTTAAAAGATTCAATCAGAAATGTGGTATAACTATAACTTTCTATTTTCCATTGTTATTGAGTACAATATAAAGAAATTACTTGCAAAAGTCTTTAAACCATAAAAAATCGAGTATTATTTAATTGTGCAGGTGCTTTGATTATTGAGTTTTTGTAATAAGTATAATGATTGTGAGTTACGTTGACTTAATTTCAATGTAAGTACGTTTACAAATTTGTATTTTCATTTATCCAAAAATTTGTATCTCTCATACTAATAAACTATATTCCTTACTTTTCACCATTTTCTTTTTCTTCCTAATGAAATGATGATGGTGTCTTGCTTAGCAATCTGATAGCAATATTTTGTGCATCCAAATTTCGTAAATGATAGTCGATGCCTAGCCTAAACAAATCGTCCGGGAATAATAAAAAAATACTAGTTTGTTCAAATTCAAATTACTAGTAGATTACATTCTATGCTAGAAAATAAAAAATTTTTAAAATAATTTCACTGACTATATGGATAATAGACTTATTTTTATTCATATTCTCTTGCAATACAAGAAATGAATTTACATGAACTTCACTATATTCATATACAATCTTTATATTACGACCTAATTCGTTATACATTTTAACATATACATAATATTCTTAAAGTTGAACGATTGCTTAATGCAACTTTAATAAAATTTTACTTCTCCAACTTAAAATTTAATTAGCAGCTAGTACAGTAATTATTCCAAGCAGCTTAAAAATAATGTTTTATTGTTATATTATAAAATTCCACATCACATTCTAGATTGTAGATTGTAGATTCTAAGGGAACTGAGTGGGGACAGGAGCATCCCCCCAAGCCACCGCAGCCATTTTTGACTTATTGTAGCCACCCCACTCTCCCGTCTATAATATCCCCGTCCCAATCACAAAGCCGGAGATATCCCTAAGGGAGTTGGACAATAGTTCCCGAACACTTAGGGACCCATGTCCAAGACAATTGCGGCGCCGAACAGCCAGTGCCGGACAGTCGCAGAGAATGTGCACGGCGGTCTCATCGCCACCCCCACAAAATCTGCACAGGGGGGAGCCCGACTTCCCCAGCCTGTGCAGGTGGTATTTCACCGGGCAGTGCCCCGTGAAGAAATTCGCAATAGTGCGAACCCGGCTCCTGCTCATCCCCAGCAACTCCGCAGCGAATCCGCCGGAGCACGCCGGAACAAACACCTTCGCATGACGGCACCCTTTCGTGTCCCGCCAGTGACGACTGCATTCCGCCGCGAGTAGGCAGGCAAGCCTGGCCCCCACGGCGGAAGAAGGCAGACCACAGAAAGGCAGCGGCTGCACAAAGGCAGCCCCAGATCCCCTCCGCGCCAACTCATCGGCAACTTCGTTGCCCGCATGGCCACTATGGCCCGGCACCCAAATGAGCATCACTCTGTTTTCCGATGCCAATTCCATAAGTGCAGCAAGGCAGCTCCAGACCAGCTTGGATGTAACCTGAGCTGAACGGAGCGAAAGCAGTGCAGCCCTGCTGTCTGAGAACACATAGATGGTGCGGTTTCTATACCCCCTTTCCAAATTGATTCTCAGACAGATCTCTATTGCATGTATTTCGGCCTGGAACACTGTGCAATACGGGTCAAGGGTTGCATATACACGCGTGTCCGGGCGGACACCGTATACGCCCGAGCCCACACCCGACTCCGTTTTGGATCCGTCCGCATACCACACGCTCGAACCCGACCTAAGTACCGGACCACCCCGATCCCACGTCCATCGATCAGGAAACAGAACCCTGTACTTGTGGTCGAAGTTGTACCGCGGCAGACAGGTATCTGACATGGTTATCCTTAGAATCGGATCGCCCTCAATGAAGTCTCTGTGAGTTCTGTGGGCCAACTTTAGCCCTGCCCCGTCCTCGCCAGAGAGAAGTCGGTAAGTCACCAGCCGAGCTTCCTTCAATATATGGAGGTGCAGTGGCGGCAATCCGATCATCACCTCCAATGCAGCGGTGGGAGCCGTCCGCATCGCCCCGGTCACTCCCAGGCAGGCCAGCCTCTGTAGCTTTTCCAGCTTGGCCCGCAC